CTTGGTGGGGCAGGGTAGTGGGTATGGGAAGTGAGAATGAACTTTGGGCTCAATTTGGAGCTGGAGAGACGAGGCATCCGTAAGATGGCCTACAGCTTGAGTACTGCCTTGTGTGGACATAACTTCACAATAAGAAGCCCCAGTGCCTCAGAAGGAATCTCCCATTTCTTCCTGGGTGATTTAGAACTTTCGACATCCAGCTGTTTTTCCTTTGCTGGAATCCATCTGCAGCAGAGGGAAAAGACTGAGACAAGTTATATGCAGGCTGTCATATTTCTGAACTGCCACAAGATGGGGGTATTTTAAAACTTTACTCATTTTTTGATTATTAATTTTTTGGGGGGCCTAATGGTGATGGAACCTCAGTGTCCCAGTGCAGTACACTGGAACTCAAAAAATAAATAAAATAAAAAAAATCATGGTTGTTTTGCTGTTGGAAATTTGTCTCTTGTGACATTACCAAAGGGAAATGGATATTAAAGCAAGAGAATTAAAAGCTGCCGAACCGGTTTGGCTCAGTGGATAGAGCGTCAGCCTGCGGACTGAAGGGTCCCGGGTTCAATTCCGGTCAAGGGCATGTACCTTGGTTGTGGGCACATCCCCAGTTGGGGGCGTGCAGGAGGCAGCTGATCGATGTTTCTAACTCTCTATCACTCTCCCTTCCTCTCTGTAAAAAAAATCAATAAAATATATTTAAAAAAAAGTTGTTGGTTTGTAATTATGTGCTGCATTTGAAAATAAGCTTGTAGTGTAAAATGGAAAATTATTTGAACAAAAACTCAGTATTTTAAATGAGTGTAGCCTCTTTCTCTTATTTCTAAAGTTCTCAAAGTTGAACCAATATGAGCCTTCTCATGATGCACCATCATCTTGACCTTTGGTTCCACTGTAGAAATTCAGCTGCATATGGTGCATATTGAGGGCTGCTATTACCAAATTTTCTTCATTATTTCTGTCCCTCAGGCAAATAACAGGAGTCCTGGCACAGAAATTAGTTACAGAAGTTCAAATTGCATTTGGTGTCATATGGTAGAGAGGGTTAAAGTAAAGCCTGTGTTCTAGCTGATGTGCAAAACAGCCCATTTGCAAGGAAATTTATTGTCAAAAGATGGTGAGCTTGGCTACAACGTGGGATGCTTTAATGCTCTCAGAGGGTCTTGTCGAGGGAAGCAATAGATAAAGAAAGGAAGGATAAGGATAGGGAGAGTTTGACCAGATCAGAGAGAGGAAGGACTGGCAGGCACCACAGGAAGACCAGCACCGGCTTTCCTTTGTCACCCTGTCATTCACTGTTGAGCCCTGTGATTGCAGGTTCTGCACTAGGGAATTAAATGGCTTCCAGTTTCTCTCAGGTGTTGTATGCACAGGCATGTGAGCCAGTTTCCGCAGAGAACATTCCATAAGCCATGGCAAGTGCCTGAGTTCCATGCTTTTTTCTCCCCAAATTATAAGAGAATGTTTATTTAGAAAATGACAGAGCTAGTAGAAGTTAGACAGCTCAGCTGCATAGGCTCAGGGAAAAGTGACAGAAGCAAAAGAAGGGCCCTTAGAGCTCAGGAGAGAGAAAGAAAAGGTAAAGCGCTTGGGGGGAAGAAGCGGGGGAAGGGAAAGGTGCGGGTGTGCTCCGAGAGGGAGAGCAGTATTGCCTGTTGGCTGGGATGCCCCAACAACCACCCCGCTTCTTCTACTCAGGTGGGACTGTACAGGTGTGACATCCTAATTCCCTTCACCCCAGCTCACGGAATCCTGGCATGTCAAAGATTTAACAAGAGAACAGACGTGAGATCAAGTAACTTGCCCAAGAAGCATCCCCAGTACAAAGCTCTTTGCCCACATTTTCCTGCCCAACTCACCAAAAAGTGCCCTTTTTCTGAGTCCACTTCAAGGCCTCATCTTTAAAGGCCTAGCATGTTTATTGTCAAAATCTATGTATCTCAATTACACACTGTACATACTCTATGTATCTCAAATACATATGTACTCTCTGGTGTTGCTCACTGTTGCTTTCTGTATCTGCCTAGAGTCCCTACAAGAACACAGGGCCAGCCCTGGCCGGTGTGGCTCAGATGGTTGAGTGTCAACCTATGAACCAGGAGGTCATGGTTGAATTTCCAGTCAGGGCACATGCCCAGGTTGTGGGCTTGATCCCCAGTGTGGGCATGCAGGAGACAGCGAATCAATGATTCTCTCTCATCATTGATGTTTCTGTCTCTCTCTCCCTCTCTGAAATCAATAAAAATATATTGAAAAAAATGAACACAAGGCCATATCTTATACACTAGGACTTCTCAAATTTTAATGTGCACACAGATCATCTGGGGATCTGGTTAAAATGGAGATTGTGACTCAGAAGGCCTGTGATGGGGTCTGAGACGGCATTTCTAACACCTTCCCTTGGTAGTGGTGCTGCTGCTGCTGGCCCAGCACAATACTCAGCAATTGATTGCTGCTGTCCCTCAGAAACGTTGCAGGAGTCCATTTGATCTGGTAGACCTTGGTTTTCCTGTCTGCAATGTGGTAAAGGGTAATAATAATGTGTCTTTGTTATGGGGAGGCAGTATAGTGTGGCAGGTTAAAGCTCGGGCTTTGAGCCACTCAAAGTAAAAAGCTAACATTTATCAAGTACTTACTATGTGTTGGGCACTGTGATGAGCACTTTATATACATTACTAGATTTAATCTTTTAGAAAAAAAAGTTAAGTAAAAATAAAATCAATTTATTATGTTTGGGTTTTCAAAAAATAAGTTATTAATTTTTTAAATTGATTTCAGAGAGGAAGGGAGAGGAGAGAGAGAGATAGAAGCATCAATGATGAGAGAGAATCATTGATTGGCTGCCTCCTGCATACCCCACACTGGGGATCGAGCCCGCAACCTGGGCATGTGCCCTTGACTGGAATTGAACCTGGGACTCTTTAGTCCACAGGTCGATGCTCTATCCACTGAGCCAAACCAGCTAGGGCAGTTATCAATTTCTTAAGTCAAATTCTGTCTGTTTCTTTCTATAGGACTACAGAGCTTCTATAGATTTTTGAATATAGTGCTCCTTTAAGTAAACCTTATTGCTAGGATTTTTATATCAGCTGATAGTTTAAAAACCATTTCTGATTTTTCACAATAACTACTGTTTTATGCCTTATACAAGTGTATGGAAAGTGTTTCAAAAGAATTTGAAACAACTAAAAAACAAAGTGTGCTTAACTTGTATAACTCAGATAAATGAATTATGAACTTATGAACTTTTTAGTATAAAGTAATAATTCTTATTTCTGGGTTTGGTCAAAGCAAAAATTCATTTGTCTTTGGAATACAAACTATAGCTAGTAAGCATTATGTTGATTAAAAATTTATTTTTATTCTCAAAAGGAAAACTCATACTTCTGACCCATTTTTTCTTAAGAGGAATGTGTGTGTTTGCAAATACATATGTGTATGCATGTGTCTTCATTAAAGTACTATTACTCCCATTTTAAAGGTGAGAAAACTGAGGCCCCATGAGAGCAAATGACTTGCTCACTTTTGCACTGCTATGAGGGCTGATCCAGATATAAATCCAATTCTGTCTGTTTCCAAAGCCCACATTATTTATATATATTTTTATTTTATTTACTCTTTTAATCTTCACCCAGGGATATTTTTCCATTGCTTTTTAGAGAGAGGGGAAGAGAGAGGAAAAGAAAGAGAGCAATATTGATGTGAGAGAAACACATCAATTGGTTGCCTCCTGCACATGCCCTGACCTGGGGAGGAGTCTGCAAATGAGGTACATGCCATTGACTGGAATTGAACCCAGAACCCTTAAGTCCACAGGCCAACGCTCTATCCACTGAGCCGAACTGGCTAGGGCTATTTTTTTTAAACATTTTATTTTGAAAAATTAAAAACCTACAAAAAAGTTTCAAGAATGGTACAATGAACAATCATATAATACCTTTCCTCTAGATTCACTGGTTGTTACCATTTGCAAAGCCCACATTCTTAATCATTCTACCATTTATTAGGCATATCATGATCTTAGGATATTATACAACCCCTGTGTTTAATTTCTTAATCCGTAAGTGGGTAAGATATATATATTGAGGGTTTTAAAAATGAAGATTAAGTGAATAATGTAATGATCCTTTCAGCAAATGTTTATTGAGCCCCTCCCATCCTGGGATGAATACAAAGCACTGTTCTAAGCCAGGACTAAGCAAACTAGCACCATCCCGTCCGTGCCCTCTCAGAGCTCCGAGTCAGAGGCGGGGGGACCGACAGTAAAGGACACACGAGGGACTTTCAGGTGGCAAAGCCCTGGGAGGAGACCGTGCTTTTGGACAGAGCAGTCTGGAAGGCTTCCTGCAGGAAGTGACCTCGGCCTGAAGCCTGGCCCATGAGAGGGAGTGAACCGTGCATAAAGGGGGGCAGAGGGGCCCCGCCTGTCTAATGTGTGTGCCAAACATCTTTATCCAACAAGAAAGGGAGACTGTGAAGTTCCCATTTGTGGAGAGTGTTGTTAGAAGAGAGCACACACTATCCGATAGATAGACTGTCATAATCTCACAAAGGATAGGCCAGGCCAGTAGGTTTTTCAGAGTCTGTTCCAGCTTCGCACACACCTACAGCCCTTCTTCATAAGGTGCCAATCTTTACCAAAGTGCCTGGCTTCCTTGGCAATTATTTCCTGTTAAGCATGTGAGTTTTCACATTAATAAACTGTGTTATTAACGAATGGCAGTCGCTGTCCAAGAAGTCTGATTTGGATAGACTGTCATAATCTCACAAAGGATAGGCCAGGCCAGTAGGTTTTTCAGAGTCTGTTCCAGCTTCGCACACACCTACAGCCCTTCTTCATAAGGTGCCAATCTTTACCAAAGTGCCTGGCTTCCTTGGCAATTATTTCCTGTTAAGCATGTGAGTTTTCACATTAATAAACTGTGTTATTAATGAATGGCAGTCGCTGTCCAAGGAAGACTGATTTGTGTTTCTAGAGTCTCAATAACCTTTTGTTTCTAATTTAGAAATTGGATGAAGACATGCATCAAAAAATTGCAAGGGAAATGAACCTCTCAGAAACCGCCTTTATCCGAAAACTGAACCCAAGTGACAGCTTCTCACAAAGTAAGTACGCTTTCTGGCTTTTCCTTATTTTCTTAAATATTTATTTATTAAATTGATTGGGGTGACAGTGGTCAACATGAACATATAGGCTTGAGGTGTGGGTTTCTATGTTACAGATCTGTATATTGCACCACGTGCCCACCACCCAAAGTCAGATCTTCTCTTGTCGCCTTAAATAAGCATTCTAAAAACCATTCTTTATGGTAGGAGAAGCTACTTTTCCAGGGGGAGGGTGATATTTAAGGGAAACGCCCATTCGCTATTTGCATGCAGATAGGAGAGCGAGGGGGGAGATTCTGATTTGGTTCTCAGTTAATCTGGGGGTGTGGGGTTGGTTGCTTTGAATGTTTTAGCCCCGGACCTAGCACCAAGGAACCCTAGGATGTATGCTTAGAGTTCACTCCTTTCACAACATGTTTCAGCAATTAAATCACGCTGGTGAAAAGTTCAGGAAAGAATGAGAAAACGAAAAGTCTGTGACTCACTTGCACGGGAATGATCTCGTCTCTCTCTGGCTTATCTCTCCCTGAAGGTTCCTGCTTTGGACTAAGGTGGTTCACACCGGCGAGTGAGGTCCCTCTCTGTGGTCACGCGACCCTGGCTTCTGCAGCCGTGCTGTTTCACAAAATAAGTAATGTGATTTAAAAAAATGAACCCATCACTTAGCAAACAGCAATTTAAAAAAAAATTCTCATGCTCTTGGCGATGAACACTGGAATGGGACATTGCAGAGTTTATTTCATGTAAAACATTATCCAGAATAAAAAACATCAACCTTCAATAACCTTGGCCTTTCTGAGTATGTGCCAGGCATATTGGAAAGCCACAGCGTTGTTCCCTGAAATGCCATTTATTGTAAATCTGGAGTCTTCGGTGTCTGTGGAGGGGAGTTTACAGGAAGAACAGGTGACACACATGATATCGGGGACCCAAAAGGCACACTTTGCCCTCAATATGTCCCCCCCCCCACTGAAACAAGAGCTTCTTTACTCTGAATTTTAATTAATTAATTTATAAAATATTTTTTATTGACCACTTTCCATCTAAGCTGCATATACAGCAGGTAAAGATAAGGGCTTTGTGGGAACGGGGCAGAAGAGAGATGCTTGGAGATGCCCTAAATTGCAGCAGGAGGCAGCTATGAACATGTTTAGACAACATACAGAAGTAAACAGGATGATATGACAGGGTAACTGTAAGAAGTGGGGAGTTAGAAAAGGAGGTTCTTTGGAGAACTGCTGTAGATGGAGATAGTAAGGGAAGGGGTTGCAGGGCAGGTTCCGCCAGGGTGCAGTGCAGATTCGGGGACACGTCTGCATGCCGGAGGAACTGCAGGCAATATTCTTGGGGTCAATATTGACAGGGGAGTAATGAAAGGATTAAATAGAGGGAGAAGTTGAACTGCAAAGTGGTTTTACAGAAATATTAGGGCGTGAAAAACAATTATGTCCCAAATCTCTGTTTTCACCAAAAATGTTATGCACATTGAAGTCAGATAAGTGGCTCAAGTTGTATCAGAAACACAGAAGGAGGGCTATCATATCAGCATCTATGGGGTCAATATTGACAGGGGAGTAATGAAAGGATTAAATAGAGGGAGAAGTTGAACTGCAAAGTGGTTTTACAGAAATATTAGGGCGTGAAAAACAATTATGTCCCAAATCTCTGTTTTCACCAAAAATGTTACGCACATTGAAGTCAGATAAGTGGCACAAGCTGTATCAGAAACACAGAGGGAGGGCTATCATATCAGCATTTATAGTCTAATCTTTAAATCAAAATTTTATGTCTAGCTTTGTTTATTTAAAATAAACCTGATTTGTTCATATCAGATTGTTGTTCATAACTTGAATGTTCTATTTGTCATCTATAAACTGACTAGTAGAGCTTATAATTCCATGCTAATTGTAGGTTAATACTTTAAAATCGCATTAGAAAACATAACATTTTTATGAGGCAGGCTTAATTATTGCCCTATTTTATTGGTAAAATAAAATTGATATAGATTGAATTATTACCTCACTTTGTTGATGTGGAAATTGAGGTTTAAACAGGTTAAATAATTTGCTCAAGGGTATAGCTAGGAAGCAGTAAGGAGCTGGGATTTGAAGCCTTGCAGCCTGATGCCAAGTCTAATCAATCATGTTCCTGGTTCTCAAATTAGAATCCAGTGAGGGACCCCACTGTGGACCCCAGCAAACCAAAAGCAGGCAGCACTGCTAGAGAACCTGAGACAACACAACGGTGTCTGAAACAGACTTATAAGCATATAACAAAGTTTATTTTCCCATTTCATGATTCCTTTTCTAACAGTTTTATGATCGACAAAATAAGACTCTTTTTTTTTTGCCAGAAAATGTGAATAGCACTCTAACCTTTGTCACGCTGAGTGGGGAACTAAAGGCCAGAAAAGCGGAGGATGGTATCATCCTGGACTTGCCTCTTTACCCAGCCCACCCGCAGGTCAGCTCTTTCTAATTGATAAACTGTGTACAACTGACAGAGTGCCTGTTTTATAACGGTTTTGTCTTTTTCCCCATCTAGGACCTCCATGAAGTAAAGGACTTAATAAAGGTTAGTGACAAGAATCAAGCCTGTGCTCATGTTATTTGAACACTTGTTAGTATTTGAACACAAAGATTCGGTACCATTTGATCCCCAAAGGCAGGCCTGCTACTGGTATCAGCGTTCCAATCTAAGCTTGGATGAACAGAACAGTGCGCTTGAGGTCTGAACTGTAATACTGAATCTATTTGGTGAGAAGATGGACCAGTTTTCTCTGACTCATCATTGTCAGCATTAGCCTCCATGGTAGGGTGGGGAGAGCTACTTAAAGCACGATGGCAGGAAAATGGGAAATATTCAGAGTTCTTTCTACCTTGCTCATGGTAGAAAGAACTTAACCTGACCTCTCTAAGCCTCAGGGTCAGCGTTTGCAAAATGGGAATGACAAAGCGGTATTCATCTTATCACGGTTGTCATTTTGTGTTCCTAGAAACTGGCAATAAGATTCCCAGCTGAGAATTAAACTTTCAAATCACATAGAACCCATGCAGAGAAGGGCTGGATATGACCCTTCAGAGAGACTGGAAGGTCCCGGAGAGCAGGTGGGATCTGGCTGCTGGGATTTGTTTCTAGAGAGAGGGACATTGGTTAGCTGTGGTCGCAGAGGCAGACATCCCAGGCATCACTCCAGGAGGAGAGAGTCTTGGCCTTGGGACCTGGAGCAGCTCAGTCCCTAAAGAGAGTTAGAAAACCTGAAGCCACCGAATGACTGCCAGACAACTACTCTGTCATCGCCTTTGTCACCTACTCTGCCCACAGCCACTGGTAGTGCTTAAAGGGGCTTTTGTCCCCTCATCTATTCCCTCAGCACCCCAAGCCAACAAACAAGCAAAACAATGTTATCTGTAACTAGGGGCCCAGTGCACGAATTCATGCACCTTGAAAGGAATTGTGGGCCACGTGGCTGCGGTGGGCACAGGGGTGGGTCTCCGCCCCTCCCGCCGTATATATATATATATATATATATATATATATATATATATATATATATATATATATATATATATATATATATATATATATATATATATATATATATATATATATATATATATATATATATATATATATATATATATATATATATATATATATATATATATATATATATATATATATATATATATATATATATATATATATATATATATATATATATATATATATATATATATATATATATATATATATATATATATATATATATATATATATATATATATATATATATATATATATATATATATATATATATATATATATATATATATATATATATATATATATATATATATATATATATATATATATATATATATATATATATATATATATATATATATATATATATATATATATATATATATATATATATATATATATATATATATATATATATATATATATATATATATATATATATATATATATATATATATATATATATATATATATATATATATATATATATATATATATATATATATATATATATATATATATATATATATATATATATATATATATATATATATATAGCATAATATGCTAATTAGACCAAACGTCCTTCTGGACGACCTTCTGGACGAAAGCCAGGCTGCGAGGGAAGCCAGGGTCCCGGGTGCTGGAGGGAAGCCAGTGCCAACAGCCGGGGGAAGGAAGGCCTACTCTTGCATGAATTTCATGCATTGGGCCTCTAGTTGGAAATGAACAAGATTATGTGTGTGTGACCCTGGGCCTCTCTAAGTCTTTCTTCTGATCTGTGGGGAAAATACCCATTTGAAGGAGTTGTGTGTTCAGGCACATATTAACACTTGTGAATAATGTCTATCTTTGGCTCGAAAAAGATAAGCTCAATTCCTTTAAAGGCCTCTTTAATCACCAGGAAACTGACCTTTTCCTTGGGCAACACCTTCAGCCCAGAAACCTAACTAAAACTTGGGGACTGGAGACCAGGGGTGTGCCTGGCACTTTGCAGATGTTCAGGAAAGGTCGTTTCCCACACAGGGGATCAAGGACTGGACCCAGGGCACAAGCCTGAGAAGTCTTTGGTCTGTCTTCACAGACTGCCATAGGTGACACACTGGTCCAGGACATCCGCTACTCCCCAGACACCCGGAAGCTCCTTGTCCGGCTCAGTGACACTTATGACAGGTGAACGAGATTTTTGGCTTCCTCAGCACTTTGGAGAGGGCCAAGCACCCCCATTTATAGCCCTGGCTTGGTCTGGCTGTGCTCTGTCCAGTCAAACCATGATTTCTGCAGCCAGAGAGCTTTGTTCTCGGGTAGGAAGATATTCCACTTGCTCCTCCTCCTGCCCCTGCTGATGCGTGTGGGTCAGCCACACCCTGGCCTGCTTTATGGTGTCCATGTAGGGGTGGTGGTGGGGGGGTGTCTGTGGAATGGGGTTTGTCCTAATCCATCCCTTTTATGAACAAGGTCATTTCTGGAGAACCTGAAAGTGAACACACAGGATCTGCTGCAAGTAGAGAACACAGGGAAGGTGAGAGGACTCATTCTCACTCTTAAAGGAAAGCCCGGTGGGCAGACCCACGCATTCGACTTTTACTCCAGATATTTCGCACCCTGGGTTGGCATCGCAGAAGACCCGGTAACAGGTACTTTTTGACATGGGTCCTGGGGGGGTTAAACAATGGAGGGGGTGGATAACAAATAGCTGTTTAAGCGTCCTTCATGTGACCTTTCAGATTGCTTGGGTTTTGAGCTGCCTTTGTTTTCCTATCTCACCTCCCCCATCCCTTCACGTAAAAACACAGAATTAAGGAAGCAGTACAGCCCTGGCCAGTGTGCTCAATGGTTAGAGTGTCAGCCTGCGCACCTAACGGTCTTGGGTTTCATTCCCAGTCAAGGGCAAGTACCTGGGTTGCAGGTTCGATCCCTGGCTCTGGTTGGGGAAGGTGCAGGAGGCAACCAATTAATGTGTCTCTCTCACATTGATGTTCCCCCCTCCCCCTCCCTCTTTTCCACTCTCTAAAAATCAATGGGAAAAATATCCTTACCCCTCACCGCCCCCCTCACCCCCAAAAAAAGAAGCAGTATAGCAGGGTTAAACCTTAGTGTCAGACAGCCTTGGTTTGCATCCTAGCTTTCTAGCTGTTGACCTTGGGCAAATGGCTTAACTTATTTTTTCAAAAAAATTTTTGATTGACTTTTAGAGAGGGTGGAAGGGAGAGGGAAAGAGAGAGAGAGAAACATCAATGTGATCGTGAAACATTGATCAGCTGCCTCCTGCACACGCCACCGGGCAATTGAGCCTGCAACTGGGGCATGTGCCCTGACCGGGAATTGAACCAGCAACAACCTTTCCATGCATGAGACGATGCCCAACCAACCGAGCCACACCTGCCAGGGCTTCACTTTTAAACGTTTCCATTCCCTCCTCTATAAAATACAGATAATATCCCATAGGGTTATGCAAATCCAAGGCCAGTTAAGTACTTATCACAGTGCGAAGAGTGGGCTGAGCAGCAAAAGGGGGCCATGAGGAGGCTGGCACATGGGATGGTGGCCAGGGCAGAAGGAGGCTGGGCAGACTGTTCTGGTCAGATGGCAGGGGTGGGGATGACTGAGTCACTCTCTGAGGAACAAAACATGTGACATTCAAAGCTCAGTAAGCAAGCACTTTTTGGATGTCAGGAAAATGCCCAAATGACATCCAAACAGTCCAACTCAAGCCTTTCCCCATGGAATAGAAGTTCTGAGTGGATTTACACATGCACAGCTGCTTTACAAAGATTTTAATTGGCACAGAGGGCAAGTTTTTCCCCTAAAATAATGTTTTTCTACAGTGAAAGGTCTTTGGACAGTGATGACCAACCATCTCAGTTTGCTTAAAACGGAGGGATTTTTCAGCATACAGGGCCTTTGGTGCTAAAACCAAGACAGCCTCAGGCAAACTGGGATGGTTGGTCCCACCATGTGGACCTCCCAACATTTAGTAAGTTTTCCTGAAGGAGGGGCCCTTCCCACCCCAGCCTTTTCTGCCCCACAGACTTTTCTGACAGTTATTCCTTTACAGCTTGTTCCTTCATTTTACTGATGGTGGCCAGGGCAGAAGGAGGCTGGGCAGACTGTTCTGGTCAGATGGCAGGGGTGGGGATGACTGAGTCACTCTCTGAGGAACAAAACATGTGACATTCAAAGCTCAGTAAGCAAGCACTTTTTGGATGTCAGGAAAATGCCCAAATGACATCCAAACAGTCCAACTCAAGCCTTTCCCCATGGAATAGAAGTTCTGAGTGGATTTACACATGCACAGCTGCTTTACAAAGATTTTAATTGGCACAGAGGGCAAGTTTTTCCCCTAAAACAATGCTTTCCTACAGTGGAAAGGTCTTTGGACAGTGATGACCAACCATCTCAGTTTGCTTAAAACGGAGGGATTTTTCAGCATACAGGGCCTTCAGTGCTAAAACCAGGACAGCCTCAGGCAAACTGGGATGGTTGGTCACACCATGTGGACCTCCTGTAACATTTAGTAAGTTTTCCTGAAGGAGGGGCCCTTCCCACCCCAGCCTTTTCTGCCCCACAGACTTTTCTGACAGTTATTCCTTTACAGCTTGTTCCTTCATTTTACTACCCATTCTCTGATCTAAACCTTGGGCACAATCATCTAAAAAAAAAATACCTCACTGAAAGACAGTTCTTTTGCCACCAAAATCCGGGAATGTGTGCTTGATGGAAATTTTGGATTTTGTCAGAGTTCCCACCTTTCCTTGCATGTGCATCCTGGGAGCAAGCAGATGGTCTCTCTTGAAGGATGTAGATTTAAGTGAAGGGCTTGATTTTCCTACCACGGGCTGACAGTAACGTGTGGACAGGACAAGAATGAAAACCCGCAGTTTAATTCAGCCTTCAGAAAGTGTGCAGCACTGTGAATGCATCATTTGGAGGCGCTTTTCCATACATTCTATGCCTTCCTTTCTATCTCCATTCGTAATCCCACACTCTGCTGTGGCCACGCCGACACGACGACTAACTAGTTGATTGCAATTGCTTATAAATTTACCACAAAGTCGCCCCTGTTTCCCTTGTGCGGTATCGTAACTTCTCATTTCTTTTAAGGGTCTGCACATACTGTTCTCAGCAGCTACTGGTCCCAAGAACTGGGGAAGAAAGATATGCGTGGTAAGACAGCTCTTTTTCAATTAAAAAAAAAAAGCCTGATATTAAACTAGGATTCCTTCTCAAATGTACTATGCACGTGAAGATATGTTTTGTGTCACCCACGTGAAAATGAAAGGTTTTTAAATTCCTTCACCCTGACCCCTCTACTCTAAATATCCTCTACCCCAAACATCTCCCACCCGTCTCTCCCAGCACAGACACACTTCTAGCACAGTGAGTGCCCAATAAATGTTTGTTGAAGAAAATTAACTAGCTGTGTAACTTTGGCCCAGAGAAGTTATCTATGACGTGAAAGGTGGAGATTGGATAATCAGTGAGGCTCCTTACTGCTATTACTAGCCACAGGGTTGACTCATACAAATTGCTTTTGAACCAAGTCCCCTGGTGATTAATATATATTTTCTCAGGGGCAGAGAACATAGACCTCAGACAATGGAGGCTACATAGCCCTAATAATCAAATTAGGAGTCCAACCCTAGAGGTCTTGCTTAGTGGGAGGGTTAGGCCTCTGTGAGCCTGATTTGGGGAGAGCAGGTGGCTGCTCTTAGGAGAGACTAGTTACTCCCCTGAGCACTGAGCTCCAGGAAGGCTGAGGCGTGCCTCTTGTCTGCCTGACAGTATGGTTGCTTGGTAACTACAATGAATGAATGAATGAGATCCCATTGTCTTATTCAGGCCTGGAAAGACGGGGCCTTCTCAGGAGGGCCAAGATGACCCCTCCTTATCTTCCTAGACATCTAGTTCCTGCATCTATCTTTTCACATGTCCTTGCTTACTCCTAGACAGAGCCAGGGAGGAGGCTGTGGGTGGGGTGAGCCTGGGCATTACAGGAGGTGATAGAGGAAGTAGCTCAGGAAGGGGAGACCTGGAGCTGTGTGTTTTGCGGATGAAAGTGCATTTTGGCCCCTCACTCCTTAGGAGAACTGGTTGGGCTGGGCAGTACCATGGACAGATTTTATCTTAAAAGAATTCTATCTTTAAAGCATTTATCTTTAAGCTGACCTAGGAGGATTCTAGAACTTGTAATAAGAGGTGTCTCACTATATGCTGTTCATTAAAAAGGGTGGAAATTACCTTAATTTGTGATTTGTTTGGTTTTGTCCAGCCTTTCAGTGTTCCTGCCGAGGAGGAGAACTGGAGATATCCCTGCGTCCGGATGGCCGGGTTGACATTAGGGGAGGTGCTGCGGTGGTTGTAGAGGGCACACTGACAGCCTAGAGGTGCTGTGCCGATGCTGCTCTCCCCCATGACTGCTTCCATGAAGAAAAACATAGGGGCCTTTAGCAAACCTGCATGGTAGTCTACTTAATCCTCAGGTTAGAAATAGAAAAATGAAGACATATTAATGGAGAGTTAACAGGTACCAATTAACTATGGAGTTTTGGCTCCACCCGTGAGTGTATCTGAAATATAAGTAACTCATAATGAAGAATAATGTTGTCACCTTTGATTGTGACTACTGATCACAGAACAAGGAACAAATGGTTAAAGTCAAACCATTTAAATGTAGGTGACTGTGATAGAATATTTTGCAACCATTAAAAAGATCCAATAACTATGTGGAAATACAGAAAAATATTCCATGATATAATACTAAGAAAGAAAATTACAGATTATAAAATGTTAGCAATGTTATGCTGTCTGTGAGAATATTAATCTATGTGGGCAGGATGAGTCATGAAGATAGTGAAAACAGTTCATCTGTGGGGAATAAGATTGGGAATAGTTTTAATGTATGTAATAAAAAAGTATTTCCTTCATTGGAACACACATGTTCAATAGCCAAAAATAAGAACATATAAGTAAATAACTAGAAACCCCAGAAATTTTTAAAAAATGTATATGTATTTAGTGTGGTAGTAAAATTAAACACTAAAAGTAATGTAATATCTTTATCTTATAGCTTTAGAGTGATAACTTAAAATAGATTCTTTCTCTTACCTTAATAAAATGGGTTTTTAACGTAACTTTAAATTCAGTTAAATCTGTAAAACTGAGTGCCTATAATTGACGTTGGGATGGGACTTTTTCAAGTCATGCCATGACTGCTTCCATGAAGAAAAACATAGGGGCCTTTGGCAAACCTGCATGGTAGTCTACTTAATCCTCATGTTAGAAATAGCAAAATGAAGACATATTAATGGAGAGTTAACGGGTACCAATTAACTATGGAGTTTTGGCTCCACCTGTGAGTGTATCTGAAATATAAGTAACTCATAATGAAGAATAATGTTGTCACCTTTGATTGTGACTACTGATCACAGAACAAGGAACAAATGGTTAAAGTCAAACCATTTAAATGTAGGTGACTGTGATAGAATATTTTGCAACCATTAAAAAGATCCAATAACTATGTGGAAATACAGAAAAATATTCCATGATATAATACTAAGAAAGAAAATTACAGATTATAAAATGTGAATATGAATCTATGTGGGCAGGATAAGTCATGAAGATAGTGAAAACAGTTCATTGTGGGGAATAAGATTGGGAATAGTTTTAATGTGTGTAATAAAAAAGCATTTCCTTCATTGGAACACACATGTTCAATAGCCAAAAATAAGAACATATAAGCAAATAACTAGAAACCCCAGAAATTTAAAAAATGTATATGTATTAGTGTGGTAGTAAAATTAAACACTAAAAGTAATGTAATATCTTTATCTTATAGCTTTAGAGTGATAACTTAAAATGGATTCTTCTCTTACCTTAATAAAATGGGTTTTAATGTAACTTTAAATTCAGGTAAATCTGTAATACTGAGTGTGTATAATTGACGTTGGGATGGGACTTTTTCAAGTCATTAAGAGTGTTTCTTTAAGATGATCTCACTGATGGCAGTTCTCGGCCATCTCAAAAACTGCTAGCTGATCAGTTAGAAATTCCTGTCCTTTTTTTTTCCACCTTAATGCTACCATGTTTTCTTTTTTGTTAATCCTAACCATAGGATATATTTTTATTTTCACTTTTTAAATATGGTGTTTTTTTTTTTTTAAATTTAAAGAGAGGAAGGGAGAGGGAGAGAGAGAAACATGAATGTGAGAGGGGGTAACATCGATAGGATGCCTCCTGCACAGTCCCGTCCCCCTCACCGCCACTGGGGATTGAGCCTACAACCCGGGCATGGGCCCTGACCAGGAACTGAACTGGCGACTTCTAGGTTCATGGGATGATGCTCACCCAAATAAGCCACACTGGCCAGTGTCCGAGGATATATTGTTAATTTTAGAGAGAGAGGAAAGGAAAAAGAGAGAGAAATATTGATGTGAGAGAGAAACATCAATTGGTTACCTCATGTATGTCCTCTGACGGGGGTTGAACTAGCAACCTAGGTATATGCCCTGACCCAGGTGTACGGGATGGTGCTTCAACCAACTGAGTCACCAGGTCAGAGCACCATGCTTTCTATTTTTATTTGTTTTGCTAAGGCGTGTGAGAGTGAATTTATTACAGAAGTAATCTTGTGTTTCCCCTAATTTGCAATGAAGAAAATAATTCACTAGCTTCAGTACTTTAGCTTAATGAGTAACCAATGACCCAGCGCACACTGCACAGCTCCCCACAACTCATCTGTTGGTTCTGACACCAAGGGAGAGAATCACTGGAGGGTCTGTCCAACCTAGGACTGACTTGTATGCATAATTTTATATAAATGCATAGTTGAAAGGGTCTGAATTTTAGCTCTTAAATGTATGCCAAGTTCTTTTTTTAAAAAAAAATATATTTTATTGATTTTTTACAGAGAGGAAGGGAGACAGATAGAGAGTTAGAAACATCGATGAGAGAGAAATATTGATCAGCTGCCTCCTGCACACCTCCTACTGGGGATGTGCCCGCAACCAAGGTACATGCCCTTGACCGGAATCGAACCTGGGACCTTTTAGTCCGAAGGCCGATGCTCTATCCACTGAGCCAAACCGGTTATGGCTCCAAGTTCTTTTTTTAAAAATCATATTTTTATTGATTTCAGAGAGGAAAGGAGACAGAGAGAGAGATAGGACCATCAATGATGAGAGAGAATCATTGACTGGCTGCCTCCTGCACATCCCCTACTGGGGATCAAGCCCACAATCTGGGCATGTGTCCTGACTGGGAATCAAACCATGACCTCCTGGTTCATAGGCTGATGCTCAACCACTGAGCTGCACCAGCTGGGCTGTACGCCAAGTTCTTACTAGCTATTTTTGGGAAACAAGACCTTGAAATGACTCTAAACTCTCTTTTTTTTTTTTGCATGAAAGTTGCTATTTGAAGCCTCTGAGTTGATTTTTCACCCTATATTTTCAAACTTTATATTTAGTTTTATAAGTGATTTAAAATTTTTCCATTTAGCAATGGACAGCTGAGTCAGAATAGTCAGGGCAACTGTTACATTTAGTGTTTACTCGGTCCACCTGCTGAAGACTGACTTGGTGGCCACCGTGGCGGTAGTGCTCCCGAAGTGGCCCCAGGGAAGCTGGGGCGGGAGTGGGGGAAGCCCAGGCACACCCGAACAGATAAAAAGAGGAAATGAATGACATCGTTAGTTAGCAGGAGCAAAGAGCCTCTAGAATTAGCATCCTGTGCTGATATGAGCAGGGCAGGATGGGGGCACTTTAATATCTCTAGTCCTGCTAGGTTTCTCCTGGCCTCTGGTGCTTCTGCCTGCCTCTTGCCTCTCTAGTCTTACTAAGAGTGGGCATAGGGGTAAGTGAAGAGAGGCTGTTGGAGATGGATCCCAGCACTCAAGTGTAACGTTACCGTTGATTGAAAACGCACTCCCAGCAATGTGGGCATCCCTTGGTATACTGAGAGTGGGTTACACTAATGTAGGGAATAGCTCAATGGCTTAATATAACAAACTTTTATTTGCACTCATATGATTTGCTTAATGAGCACAGGTCAGGAGGGGTTCTGTCCGTTATGGTCCTGCAGGGGCCCAGGCCGATGTGCATTCTGGCACGTCAGCATGTGGCCTCCATGGTTGTGCAGCAGCAGGAAAGAGTGTATGAAAAGTGCACTGGGTTTTGGCTCAGAAGTGATAGGTGTCAATTCTACTCACAGCCTATCGACCAAAACTGGTTACACACCCCGCTCTGATAGCAAGGGCCCTGAGAAGTGTGGGGAGCTCATGCATAACTCTGTGTGCAGTAAATATAGCTGCCACACCTTGGGAAGACTTCTAGACCACTCTGATGGCTCCCCCTTGGGTGGCATTACGTGGGTAAATTCATCACAGTCTGGGGACTCAGGGGTGCAGGCTCAAAAGCCTATCATGTAAATGTACCACATTACATGCAGATTCACATTAACCTAGCGCATCAAGACTGATATGTAGAGCCAGAATACCAACTGTTTTTTGTTGTTGCTGTTAATCCTCACCTGAGGACATTTTTCCATTGATTTTTAGAGAGAGTGGAAGATAGGGGGAGAGACAGAGAGAGAAACATCGATCTGAGAGAGATACATCGATTGATTGCCTCCTGCAAGCACCCTGTCCAGGGCCTGCAATCAAGGTACATGCCCTTGACCTGAATCAAACCTGGGACCCTTCAGTCCATGGGCCAATGCTCTATCCACTGAACCAAACTGGCTAGGGCTTTTTTTTTTTTTTTTTTGGAGAATACCAAGTCTTCTTTTTTGGGGGGTAACAATTATATGTATTTATGGGCCTGTTTGTCACACATACACAATATTTACATATAAACAAATATATATACCTCCAAATAGCTGTTCTAGCTAATATGAGGAAAAATTATTTGTTTTTCTGTACCTTAAAAGTTCAGTATCATAGTAATATATTATTGATATAAGAATTTTATTAAATAAATATTAATAGGTCTTACTTCTCTTCTACTCCCATTTTCCACCATAATTTTCCCTGAAAATCCTTTACATTATGCAGAACTTGACAGAATACAAATTCTTAATTTTAGATGAGAAATGTAACCACAGAATGGTTTAGATCGGAGCATTTTCTCCCCATGGGCATTTCTGTTTGGTGCATTTCATAATCAGAAAGCTGCTTGGTGACTGTGGAGCTAAAACAAGGAGTCAGCAAAATGGACCTAAAGGGCAGATGCCATCAAGATATGATCAGCTTTCCACTTTCACAACGCATTAGAATGCCCTCGTACTGCACTTCATTTACTTGAATTTAACTTAATACGCTCAAGGCAGGGCCAAATGTGATTACAGTGTTAAAATATATTTATTTATGAAACAAAAAAGGAAAACAAAAAATATTTTAAAAAGAAAAAAAAAGGGAAGGAAATTTTTACTTTTGGAACAACCATGATCCCTAGTTCAAGACCACACTTTTATCTAGCACTCAAGAAAAC